CACACACACACACACACACACACACACACACACACACACACACAGCCACTCACTCATTCACTCACTCACATGCTGTGTTTTTTCCAGGCTGAAATGTCTGTTTCTATTCATTCACAGCTGTAATTGGGTATGTGTGTGTTTGCTGTAGACCTCAGGGCTAGCTTAGCCACCTGTCTCTGTTAATTGCTATTGTTCCCTCACTCTACAAATTTCAACAGGCACATTATAACTTAGTACAAGTGAACAAACACCAGATTAGGATTAAATTCTGTTTGCAGCTCTTACATGTCACTTTGGTTACACGTTTTTTTTTTTGATAATAGCAAAAAACTAAATAAACCACGTTAAGACTAAGTTGTAAGATATCCTCCTCTTAATTTTGACAATGATTTAAATAATAATCTAGAAATTATTTTAAGCACGTTAAAGCGTCAATTGTTTGACCACCATCTCGACAATTATTGGATTAATGCCATGAAATTGCATATGATTTCATGTTCTCCTGGGGTCTAATCCTGATGATTTTCTTGATCCTCCGACATTTCAGCTGACCAACTGGATGGATTGTAATGTTTTATGGACAATCACGCTCCCCTCTGGATGAATAGCATTACATTTTTTAGTGCTCAAGAATCATTATATTAATGTTCTTATTGTGTGCATTGTAGCATGCTAATGCTGGCTTTTATGCCATACAGCGTTAGAATTGTGGCATACCACTTCAAATTACACTTCAAATTAAAATGTGACATAAATCTGATTATCGGAATTAGGAAATCACATGCATGTAGAAGGAAATGGGATTTGTACAGCTCGTCTAACTCCCAAAGCTGCAAATAGTAGCAGATGCTATGAAGTATTCCCTTACAAAAATGAGTGATAGTCGTCCATTGTGAAGCTTACCTCGATCTTAGATGCTCCATGTTTGTTGAGCAGTCCACCAGCCCCAACTAATTTGCTTTATGAGATCAGGTCACAATGTGGGCTGAATGGAGACAAATGGAGAATAAAATCAAGAAACTGGTCACATGTCAACACCTTTAGTATTATATGTGTGCATGTTGTTTTGCTACACTGGTTTGAATGCATTGTCTTTTATTCTGTTGTCGATGCATCAATGGAGCAGCAATTATTATTTAGTTGTATTCAGCTGATACAATGAAAATAAAAGCTTTCGTTTCTTTTCTATTATGGTCCTTGCAAATACATATTTCAATCAACTGCATTGAACTTGCTCTGTGAGCATGGCAGACGTATCGGAAAATCAGGGATTGTATTTTTAAACTCTTCTTTTATGTGGCATTTGCAGTAATCTGTGGGTTTTGCTTTAATCTTGTTATAATTAAACTGTTGCTTTATATGTAGACACTGATGAACTGAGGTAGAGAAAGCTAATGACAAAATAATTGAAGAAACGCAGCAAAGAGGAATGAAAGATGGGAGGGCGGGAAGATGGAGGTAGGGATTAAAGCAGGAATATGCAGTAGATTAATTAGGATTGTACTGTGAGCTGGGTTCAACAATAGGTAAATCAATTTTCAAGGGGCATTAGTTGATGTGAATTTGAGTAATGAACAAGAGTTGATGTTCATGTTCTTGGCAGGACTGGCCACAGTCTACCACTTCATTGTGTGTGTGTTTACATTTTGGGTCAGGCCCACCCTTTCCATAGAAGACAGTTGCCAGCACTCCCCTTAATGTCACTTGAAATGGTATCTGGGCTTTTTTGGGAAATTGTCTTTCACATAAGAAGAACACAGTGCAATGTTTCCTGCGTGTTTCGGTAACCCTGCGTTGGGAGATTGTGCCGGTCCGGAACATTCAGACTGGGGGTGGTGTCACAATCTTGTCCTTCCAAGTTGACATCTTTGTTGAAGAAGCTACATCGACTGACAGGACACAAATTGCAAATATGATGCAATTATATCACGAAAAATGTCTGTTTGCAGTTGAATGGTCCTCAATTTCACACATTGCCGTTATACTTTCCAGCTATATTAGGTGTTGACGTTGTCTTGTTTTGAATGTTTTGATGCATGCAAATATTTATTTTAAGGAATGCATGCATACACAACTCAAAAGCAACTGCACCCACGTTAGTGCTGGCATTCAGTTGTCAAGTGTCTCCAGGCGTTTTGACGTCAGTGTTCCTGGACACAGTGCTGAAATGATTCTTTTACTAATTTGAAGTGTCAACAGTGCCGTTTGGCATTGCAATGGCACAGTGTATGCCCAGACTTTATGACAGTGACGCTGTAATTATGTAAAGAATAAGTGGCTATGAAACACCGGCCCCGGATGCATCAGTTTGGATTTAAGCTGGAAATTCATGTTCTGGTACAATCCAGGTTCATTTGTATTGTTTGTACTTGGTGACCTGGTGATATGCTGTGTACAACACAGGATACACATGAATTCAAAACTTACAGCGCACACACACACACACACACACACACANNNNCACACACACACACACACACACACACACACACACACACACACACACACACACACACACACACACACACACACACACACACACCTTGCCTCTTCGTATTCCTATGCTGTTCCACTCTGTGTGATGCTCTTGTGGTTCTGGCTGGTGTGTGTGTGTACACGTGTACTGGATCCTGCTTATTCATGGCCAGGTGCTTGACTCTGCCTCTTTTTATACTATATATTTTCTTCTCCGTCACTTGCACGCTCACTTGGGTGTGCTTTTTCATTGGCTCTCAACGTTTTTAATTGCTGCTTGTATTCAGTGTTTTGTTCAGCACATCACATATACATGTACTAGGTGTGTAAGGATTCTTAAAACTGAGACTGAAACCGTGATACAAAGGTGATGTACAATAAATGAGTTAGATTTAACACTCTTGTATACCTTTTGAAGTCACCCTCCAGTCAAAAATGTGTTTTCATGTTTAAACGGATGAATTTTTGAGCTTCACTTCACTATTATTCTAAATAATTAATGAGGCAAATTAGGTAAATGTTATTTCAAGGACTGTTACACAACTGACATTTTCAGACACAAGTTTGAAAAGTGAATATTTTTCACGGCATTTGTCTTTTTTTCCTCATCAGAAACAGTTATTTATTTGTAAGTTCGAACTCAAATGCAGTGCGCTTTGTACCTTAAAAATTCTTGTGACACTAAAGGTCAAATGACCCTGCCCCTAAAACAATAGAAATTGGAAAGCCCGGTTATCATAGCTTTATTATTTTAAGATAGATAATAACCTTGAGTGAGAACTGAATTGTCGCTCAAAAATTAAGGTCTTAACCAAACTGCAAATTTGGAATCGTTACACCGCTAATATGTAAACACAGTACACACACTCATGCTTCATTTGACTCGGACATACTGTAGATCATATAGACTTTATATACACGTGAGTAAAATAGGAGCTCAATCCTGTTTTATTATCTGTTTTATCACCTTAAAGCTGCTAACATGCTACAACACAGTACGGCACATACATTGTAGAACCCATTATTAAATCTATTTATTGGCATTTAAACACAGATTACCTCAACCGCTCACTCAGACATGCCGTCCTAATCACTGTCTCCCTGCTGCTATCACTAACCATTTGCTGTTGCACTGGTGCTTGCTTTTTGCTGTTTTTTATTTTTATTTAATTTTTTTTATCCCTTTTCCTGTGTTCTTTGTAATCATGACCTCTCGCTGTTTTAATTTCAGATTTGCATATCCACTTCCACTCCTTCCTCATTTGCATACAGCAAGAATGGCGAGCGGGCATCCCACAGACAAATTCAGTTTCATGTATCAACCAGACACGCACAAGAGGTACGGGGCACGCATGCACACACACACACAAACACAAAGACACACACTCATACACACACATTTCCCATGCCCATATTCTCAATGAAGAGGTAAGTCAAAATAACAGAGGAGCACTTTGAGGTTCTTTCATCGCCATCGTGCGACCAAGACGCCTGATGGGAGATGTAGTTTAAACAAATCCTTACTACAACATCTTCACGCCAACCATTTCCAGCACCTTAACTTTTTAGTAGCCACTCTTCATTCCTGTAGAGGGAACCAAGCTGGTAGAGCTCGTCCTGCCTCTTTTTTGCAGGTGTGCCACATTTGGCTGGTTGTATTTAATACCACACAGGAAACCACACAATAATTATTCTGTGATTTTCTGTGAGTACTTGTGCTTTTTTTTAAATTCAGTCAATAGACTGTGTTTTTAAACATAAGCTTATTTTGAGCCTACTTGAGGGTGAGGATTTATGGTGCTTGATTTTTGTTGCATGCTGGCAAAATCCTTCGGCTGGATGTCGCCCTAAGAATCTTGAGTTTGGGATTAATGTGTGTGTGTGTGATGAGAGTGTGTGTGTGTGTGTGTATCCTTGATAGATGTAACAATTTTCTTTCCAATTTACATGGCTTTCGTCTCTCTCCCCTCCATTTTTCTTCTCTCTCCTCTCACACCCCTCCCCTCTTTGCTACACTTTCCTTCTCTCTCTCAGTAAGAACAGATTATCTTCAGCTATGAATCCAGTCTACAGCCCCGTTCAGCCTGGAACCCCTTATGGAAACCCTAAGAACATGGCGTTCACAGGTAAGACTAATCAGCACATACACATTTATCATCCACTAATATTCAGATTGTTCTCAAGGATGGGTGTGTATGGATGTTTGATAAATGTGGGCACAATGTGGCTGCAGTAGGAGGAAATGCAATCAACATGCTTGCCCATCATAGTATCCCAACAGTATGTTGAAGGTACAGACTCGATCAGTGTGGCTACTGTTGTAAAGCAGCTGCTTTGATTATTATTGAGGGCAGCTGTGACATCATTTCACACGATTGTCAGAATTCTTATAAATCAAACATCCATCCATCCATTGTTTCCTTGTCCATTGCTTGACCTGGGGTCAGTTGCAGGATTTCCCAGACCTTGGGCTCGCTGTGCGAATGTAGTGTTGGAGAGGGAAGAGTTAGAACTGCAGGTTAAAGGTGACTGCAGGACTGATTAATATTTTGATTACACTGTAGTTTCTAAAAAGGAGATTAGATGCGGTAAAATGAGATTACTGGTGCAGCCTGGTTTGTTTACCTTTGCTTGTAAACCAGGAGGCAGATGTGTTGACCCAGTTTGAGAAGCAGTAAGTGTGTCAATAATGTCAGTAAACAGTTCATCTCATATGTTCATTGATGTGAAGCCTCTCAAGACAGACGCATTCAAACGATAAGATGCTTCATAAAAATTGATTTCCATCTGTGCAGAACTGTCTTGAATGAAGTCAACTAATTGAAAATGACTCCAAGCGTCTCTTAAAGGTCCAGTGTGTAAGATTTGGGTGAAAGGGATCTATTGGCTAAATTGAATGTAAAATAATCCTTGTGATGTTTTCACTAATGTGCTTCATCTAAATTGTACAAATTGTTGTTTTCTTTACCCAAGAATTGGGTCTTTATATTTAAATACTTTATATTTACATCAAGGGGGTCCTCTCTACGGAGGCCGCCATGTTTTTTACAGTTGTTCAAACTCTACAAACTAAACACTTTTTGAGTATTTATGACAAGTGAAGGCTGCCACAGGTTCTCTTTCATGTTTGGAAGGGGAGGCTGATGTGACGGGCATTCAGCTGCAACATGCAATTTCAACACTAGATATCACTAAATTCTACACACTGAACCTTTAACTACAGACAGTAAGCCAATTACCAGAAATAATGTAATAAAGAGAAATAATGAAGCATAATTGGTTGTAATCTTAACATAGATTTGAACAAATTTAGTCATTGCTTCAGAAATGCGCAGTTAATAAACTAGCGCCTGTCATGTCCCAATTTCAGTATCCCGGTTTTGATAATCCCAGTTTTACTAGCTGGAGTAATCCAGAATCGACATAATGGTGTATATATATACATCCATCTTATCTTGTGGTTTCTGACCACTGCTGACTACCTATGCAGCGTATTTATTAGACATGTACACATCTTGACTATAGCAGCTGAAGATCGATATAACAAAGGCTTGTATTCTGAGGCAACTGACTACAAGTAATAGAAAGCAGTGAACAGCACTTAGTGTTTGTTCATTCTTTATCTTAACCTTCTTTTCTCCTCCCTTTCTGCTTCATTATCTCATTCTGACGAACTTGTAGCTTTTTTTATCAGTGGAAGCTTTTTCTCACGTCAAAACTAGCGTTGTTTGCTTAGCATGTAATTGGTGACTCACAAGAGTGTGTGTGTGTGTGTGTGTGGCCCCTTGGCATGTCTTGTGTGCTTTGCTAATGTTTCTCGATTCATCTCCACCCTCACCATATTGGCAGGTGTGTCCCGTCTGCCAGTTGGTGTATGTAAGGCGCATTCAACCAACTATGTTATTGGAGCAGACATGTTTTTTAATGAGCGCCATCTGTGCACATCCTGCTCAAAACCAAATCTGTCCTGTGTGTGTGTGTGTGTCTGGCGTCTCTGCTAAGCTATGGTTTCTAATGTTTTCTCTCCTGTGATTGCACTCAGGTTATCCAGGAGGTTATCCTGCCACGGCTCCCACCTATACCCCCAACCTGTATCAAACAGGCAGTCCTGGGTATCCACCAGGTGAGCTCTGGCACACACCATTTGATGGCTTTGTTTATCTAAAAAAAGGTAATATCTCTTATTTCTGTCCAATTTGTTTGGAGTTAATGAGTGGGATGTTATTTATTCTTTTTAATTTTTTCAAGGAATGCAAATAAGAGATAAACAACCCACACACACAGCAGAGTGTAGGGGATTTTCATAAAAGGGTGTCTCACAGACACACTGATATATGCAGATGATTTTACAGGCTAATAATGATGTTTTTAACTATTCAACAATGTTTTATTATGCAAGCTCTGTTGAGTAGATAGATATTGTCTGTTTATTTGCACATCACAAAAAGGTAACACTACAGCACTTGATTATTATGTAGAAAAATGAATTGAAAAAAATCATGCAGTAAAAACAACAGAACCAAACAGCCAGCAGCATTGGGTGGCTGAGATTACAGCACATTTCAGGGGCAAAATAACTATAGAGGACAATAATGCAAAAATTATCTTTGTACGAACCTGACTATAATTTTGTTCATGATATAAACTGCTGGCATTGACCATCTTTATATAGGAATCTAAACTTCAACATTACAATTGCATTTAAGACTTTTTGAGACATATTTTCAAATGTAAGCTTTTAAAACCTAGATTAATAATATATTAAAAAGTCCCTGTAAATTGCGATGATCAAATGGAGACTCTTGTAATCGTTTGTTGCACAATAACAATCTTTAGTCTTAGAGAGGACAGAACAACAAACCCAAAGTAAAGAAACAGAGATTGGGAACTTGGTGGTGGTTTGGTCCTTTAAGTTTCATGATATAATAAATAACAAGAATAAAGAAAATAAAGTGCTTTCAAAATTTTGGTAAAATAATGGATTTAAAATATGTCTTGGAAATCATAAAGATTGGCACCTAAATGACAACATACCTGGAAAGTATTAATTTCTATGAATATATAAAACATGAAATGTTCTTAGCAGGAGGGCAAATACCTCCTTGAATTGTTCCCCATCCTCCTGAATTTTAAGTGTCGTAACGAGGCAGGATGGGTTTGTAGTTTTCTGCTTTTGAAGCCCCTCTCTCCTCTCATCCCCTCCCCCAGTTGTGTTTTTATCTTTTTGGAAGTCTAACAAAATATCAGGTATGCTCCGTCGAATCTCGCACAGCTTTGTTCCTACAGACCACCCCAACTTCATTACTGAGGCTGCTGCTGCTGTTTGTCTGCAAATCATAATTCTCTGCCTTGTGCGGGGCTTATTAAATATAGGGAGAAATTCAATTGTTTACATTTTTTTCAGACGAGCTGGATATGGTCTGATTAGAACTGTGTCTTGATCAATGTCATTATTTCTTCAAGACCATTGAATAGACAACTGTTTTCTGTCAGCAGGGCTTTTGTGTAATTGTCAAGCACCATTGTCCTCTAATGCCCTGCATGCATGTTAAAGAATGTGTATGAGAGTATGCACACACACACACACACACACACACACACACACGTACACACTTTCAGACACACACAGAGCAGCTCCAGCATCTCTTTGTTCGCTTGTCCTTGTGTGAGGGAAGCTTTCATAAGCTCTGCTGCAGCAGCTAGCTAGTAGCATGTTTGACCTTCAGGCTCCTCCTAGTGGCCGTTCAGAAGTACTGCACTCTGGAGAGCAGAGCCCAGACCTGAACACAGAGTGCGAACCAGATACCGTCACTATACAACAGTACACTGTACTTTTCAACCTCTGTCTGTATTGTTTGTTAAATGCTACAATCAAAAATCATGCTTGGAAAGTGTATCTCTTTACCATTTAGATTGGTAGAATTCTTTACAGAATGTAGTCCATTAAAACAATTCACCCCACATACATTTACACAAACCAAAGATGATATTTCCAAAGCTCCTTGGTTACTGGCTAAATGAGCCATTTTTAGATTCACCTACCCTCAGCCGTATTGTTTTATAGCCTCCCATCAAAAGGTGGCACCAGTGCCCCATCTGGTGGATTTTGTGGCAAATAGAAATAATCAACACAGTTGAAAGCTGAAATAAACAGTTTTAAATGTGGGTATTTTCACATATTAGTGTAAACATTGGTTTGACTAATATATTTTTACTAATTAACTAGCCACTGCTCTGCCCCCAGACTTCGTGATGTCTACACTCTATATGTAAGGCAGCAGTTTTTCATAAAATGCAGAGTATTGCTCATTCTCTCATCCTCTCTTTGTGTTGCTGTATTTAAAGATAATAGTAATTTCGTTTTTCAAAGCTCATTGTAGGTTTTTTTCTGCCTTAAAGTGTTTTGGGGTTTTTTCCCCTCTCACTATCATCATGATACTTGAGGAAGTTGTTTTTCGTGAAAGAAGTTTGACAAACCTTGTGCATCTACCTGCCCGGCACCAAACGGCAATCTAAAGCAGCTAAAGAGTTAAAACGGTTTCACAAAAGTTTTTCTTTTCCTGGTCAGTGTCTCAATTGTAATTTCACCTCTAAGTTTTGTCCAAAGTCCCCCACTGAAGCGACCAACCTCCAATTTCCAACACGGTTTTAAAACTGTGTGCCATGTTCAACCCATAAATGCAGATTTTATTCATACATTTTGTGATAAATGTGATATTAAACACAGCATGAATGTATCTAGTCAATGAACAGTCATAGGTTAGTTTACAGCGCAGGGAACACATTTAAGTATCAGTCAGAAGCTGTTCACCAGCCAGTTTCCCATATGAATTTCAAAAGATGACAATATACATGTTATGTTGTTTGAGTTTTTATTTTTTGGGGGGGTTGCACTGTAAATCACTTATTGCAGGTTTAAGAAAACAACATCTCATCTGTTAAAGTGTCAAAAAAAAATGTCTCTCTTCCTTCCTCTCTCCTCTTTTTTTAGGATATACTGCAGCAGGCACCCCGTACAAAGTGCCACCCACTCAGTCAAATGGAGCACCCCCTCCCTACACCCCGACTCCCACCCCATACCCGACAGCTATGTACCCTATCCGCAGTGCCTACCCACAGCAGAACATATATGCACAGGTAAGGACACTGAAAGAACTGATAATATTAACCTGGTAGTCTGATACTGAAAGAAAATTTGATCAGGTTTGTCATGTTGCCGCTAAACTGAATCACTATCAGTAAATACAAGCTTTTGTTCTTTAGAATTTGTCTTTGCAAAAGATTATTTAGATATAAACTCAGCTCAATGTTCAGCCTTAGAAGAGGATTTCCTTCCAAGAATCAGATTAAAAATAAAGACACCGTCCAGTTTTTCTACTCTATGCTTCACTTCTTTTGAATGGTTAAATTTAAGAAGAAAAGAATAGAGGTAAATGTACTTGAAAATGTGAGCAATGCAACATGCCAATCTCCAAAGTAAACTTTATGAGCTGTTTGTGTTCTGATTTCTTTTGTTCCTGCAGTAGAAGATGATGATTAGCAGTCAAACCTTTTTTATATGATACATGCATTATATTATGTAATATGAAAATGTATATTATATAATATTTTATAAATCATACACAAACACTCACAAACCTTGTTCTGTTCCTACCCTGACAGGGAGCATATTACACCCAGCCAGTGTATGCGGCTCAGCCACATGTGATCCATCACACCACTGTGGTGCAGCCCAATAGCATCCCCTCCACAGCCCTCTACCCTGCCCCGGTCCCTGTACCTAATCCTCGCAACAACGGCATGGCTGCCATGGGAATGGTAGCTGGGACAACCATGGCGATGAGTGCAGGTACGGCCCAGCACTGAGGACTGATTATTTACTTTAGTTTTCAAACATGACAAGATTGAGGTAGCATCATCCTGAGGGCTGACAAGACTTTGTGATTCTGACTTGAAGTCATTCATTAGTTCTTGACTTTCTTGCTTGTGCACAGAAATGTTAACTCATTGAATGTGTGTGTAATGGCTGTGGTGAGTAGTCTGGTTTTAGTTTTGCTCACACATGTCACAGACATAGCATGTCAGGGTGTGGTCACAAAATCATAAAACTACAAGATATAAATTAGAGCTGAAAGAATTCGAAGAAATCTGTCGATTGAGAGAAAATTAGGAAAAGTTACAGAAAATGTCTGCAGCTACTCACTCAGACATTTACATCCTCACATACAGCCCCTCCAGAATAATTCAGGAAGATGTCTGGAGTTCAGTGCATGTTTGAAAGTAGCTTCGTAAGTTAATTAATGTTGTTGTGAACTTCCTGTAGGGACCCTGCTGACAACGCCCCAGCACCCCCCGATTGGAGCACACCCAGTTACTGTGCCAACCTACAGGCCCCAAGGGACACCTGGGTACAGCTACGTACCACCTCACTGGTAGAGCCCACCCATCATGTGAGTGTCCGCCCTGCTGCTGTTTTCATTGAAATGTTCCCCTCCTCCTCTCCTCCTTTTCATTCCTCTCTTTGTTCCTCCGTTGTCTCTCTGACCTGAACAAACTGCTGCCTCACATTTCTTTTCCCCTCAGGGCTCGAGGTGCTCTTTATAGCAATCACCAATGTGTACATCTGCTCCTCTTTTTTTTCTCTCCAGGTCTGGAGTCCACCATCGTATGCAACTGCTCAAATCTTACACGGGCTCCCGCTGGTAACCACGGGAACTCCGCACCTGTCTGCAAGAACAAAACTAAAGTGCAACAGCCACTTTACTTTTATTTTTATTGTTATTATGCGACATTCTCTTAACATTCTTACAGAAGCTGCTTTTATTTTTTAAATTTTATTTCTCTGTTCATTTGCCAACCAGTCATTACTTTATTTTGTATGTTTTTTTTGGGGTTTATTTCTCATTTTCTTTTGCTGTGTCTGTCATTGGAACTCCAGCGGGACTCTTTGACCAATCACGGGTGTCGGTCGCTCCTGTTTCTGTGTTGTGCTGGTGTGTGTGGTCCCGCCTGCTGCTGCTCAGTTGGCTGGATAATATTGGGCACTTACTCCCTGTTATCATCTCCCATCATTCACTACAAAGACTTACTGACTTATGCTGCCAAATTTTCTAACGACTAGATATCAGCACAGGGTTTTACCATAATTAGGATTTTTGGGGCGGGTTATTTAATTTTTCTTTCTTTTTACCACACTCAACTGGATTGCTTAACTTTTCCTGTAGACTTCTTTTTTTCTACCTTGGCCCTTCCTTCCTCTTCATCCTTTTTTTTTTATCGTATTCGTTTCATTTTTAAATCTTAGTTGTTCCAGCATGTAGCTGTCTGTCCAGCAGTAGTGTGTCAGTCACCCTTGTCATTTCGTCTCCATGCCGACCATCGCCCAACCAGCTGCGTGTCCCAGCCTGTCCACATTAGCTTAGCACCTAGCACATACATAGGAAAACATCACCTTCTTCATGCTACATACTATGCAGGCTAGTATGTTCTGACACAAATGGAATCTTAATCTAGAGAACATTTCGGGGTTGTTCTGGTCCTCAAGCTTTTTTATTGTGGTTAATGTAGGTTAACCCATTAAGAAAATGTAAAATATTTATACTAACCGTGTCAACAGCATGGATGGTCACGCACACACACACACACACAC